TATATTTGCATTAAACTGTTTGCATGTTTTGTGTGTAGTATTTCACTTTCATCGCCATTGTTACTCTGACAGTTCTTCGGCCTTCAAGTTGAAAATCATTACCATTCCCATTTTGTTTATCATTCTGATTTCTAGACTCGCATATGCAGCTTTCACCATAGACTGCATACTGGAGAAAGCACAACCATCCGTCAAGCTTCATGTCATCTATGATATTGCCTGTACGCTCACTGCCCACTTCAAGGTGTGTTTTTAACTATACTTTAAACTAATTGTCCGATTTGTTTTATTTTTACTGTTGTCTGCTCGTTAGGTTTGTGAAAAATTGTAATCAGGCATGCATGTTTTTCTCGTATCTACTGATTTACTTGGGGTTTTTTGCATCTCGTGAGTGCCTTTTTAAATTGAAAAATACTTTATAAAGTCTTATGTGGTTTGGAAATTCCTAATTTTTTCCAAATTCCCAGTTTCATGCCTGGGTAATGAACAATGTGCATCATGTTACAGGTAACAAACCATTTCATATCCCACGTGTGTGTACACTAAAAGTTTTTATGTAACTCCCTTGATTTGTCACAAAGTTTATTTGCTTGAGTTTGTCTTTGCTTTTGTAGAAAAAAAAGGACAAGAAGCTTGAGCTGGATATGGCACTCCCTGTGTTCCATGCCTATGGGCACAAAATGGCTTGCCAGGTATGAATCCCAATGATGATTTAGTCATTGTTTGCAACAGTGATGCTCAACAGCATAGTAATCGGGGAAAAAATATGTTATACTCCTTGATTAGTGCATGGTAACTTTTTGTTGCAATTAAAATTGATTGTGAAATGTTGTCATATTTTTTCCAAGTACATGTACTATTATCACCATTATAGTTAGATGTGTTCGTGATTTAAGATCAGTAGTTGATTAATTAACAGTAGTTAATTTGTTGTTCAAGTTTGTTCTTTGAAGAGCTAATAATTTGATGTATTTTATTCTACAATCATGTAGATAACAAGTTATGGTTTTGATATTTTTCATCATTCCATCAATCTCCCTACAGGTGGCATACAGCACCAGATGGCGCTGCGGTTACGGGCTGACAGATGGGGAGGTGATGGAGAGGCTCTGGTCCTACTTAAGGCGCTTCTCATCTATAACCAAGGAGATGACACCAGCCCATAGAGAAGACCTTCTTACAGATGCTCTTCTGCATTACAGCCGTCGGAAAAGAGCTGACATTGGTATGAGAACAGTTTTGGATCAACTGCATCATCCAAAATTACCAATATCTTCACCTTTAAAGTTTTGATCATATAGCTTGAATCAATACGTGGAGTAGGGTTTCTAATTTTTTTTAACATATAGTTGTTTTGCACATACATGATTTTCAATTTCGATGCCTGGCAGCTGTTTGAATAGGTCAATGGTTTGCAAAAAAAAATATTCATGCCAACTACTGATATTTTTCACATCTCTCACAATGGTTTGTGTTGTATTGATGATGAGATTCGTGTTAACCCTGTCGGTTCATTCAAAATGCACACAGAGGCTTTACATAATTCTATGGAATCAGGGAATGCATTGCCTATATGAAGGGAAAATACAACATAATTTTCAGAAATTGATGGATTTGGGAGATTAATATTTTACAGCAAATATTGTTATACTGACTTGCTTGAAGTTTTGTGTTCGTAGATTCTAGGAAAACCAAGAAAAAAAAGTTACGTTCTTAAAAAAAATTACGTTCTTGTAGTCTGGTTCCCTGAACTTGAATTGAAATGAAGCAATTTACAGATGCCAAGGAATTGTAAGGTCAGGGAACCAGTGTAGAAGGCTTGTACCTATTCAAAGATGTGAAATTGATTGCAAACAAAATTCAAACTAACTAAATATGGTAAATTGGGGGCAGTATTTGAAAAAAAAGCGCCGGTCGGCAGATCAGTGTTGGAAATTGATCCAAAAATACAACTTTTCTTGAAAATGTCAACTTTTCTTGAAAATGTCAGGACTGTCAGTCCAGTAAGGTATTCCATAATGATCTGGTATTTTTGTTTTTTGATGTTTGCAAATGTTGTATATTCCCTTTAATGTTCAAGTAAAAGGAAATGTGCTATCGCTGTCATGCATATTAGATGTTTGAAAAAATCAGAAAGGTGCTTATGGAAAATAGCGTGGGATTAGACATCGTCCGATAAATTTGACAATCAAGGAGAATTGTTTGCAACAACTTTTTACTGAACTTGAGAATATCAGCAATTACTTGTTTCTTTTTGTTTTTATATACATTTAGGCAGCAGCCTTGTACTTTTGATGGACAGAGCAGTTAGAGTTAAAGAGGATTCTAGCAAAGCACTTGAGGAAATATGTAGTGACTGCGCAGGTAATCTATGTCTATGAAACTTACACTTGACACAATAAAATTAAAAAGAGTGTGAAGATATATATTGACATGAATTACATTGCAAATGACCACTTATCAACAAACAAAACTAAAATGTTGATTGGTCAATTTCCTTTCACATTATATAGATAAATACATATAATTATGTGATACACATAGTCTCCAGTTTGATTTGTGTTTAATCTGGTACTTAAGAAATGGGTTCTGAAGAATATCATTTTTAGCAATGCATTGATACATGCAAATGCCTTGCTTTAGTTACCCCATAACATGCCTTCTGAAGTTGTTTGGTTGAATTAGCAGAATTGTTCAATTTCCTGAAATAAAGATCATACATCGTATTCTACTTTTCCAGTGTCACTTAAAGATATCAAGGATTGGAGGGAAGCAGAAAAGTGTCAAGTCGATGTCTCAAAGTCATCCACAAAAGGTATCAATCTATGTCATCACCATATTCATAGATTTCTCTGGTGGATTAATATTCTATTTTTAACCCCCAAAACAGAAACATGTAGATGTATGTACATCGCCATCATTAACAGAGTTTAAGGGCCATCAAAGTTACCCATCAGGTATACTAAATTAAAATAACATGGATGTTGGCTTCCTCACTAAAAGTACGTTTTTGTGTAGTCTGGACTCTATTTGTTCTTTGTCTTGTGCAGGTCAAGTCCCATGGGAGGAAAAGTATGTGCAGAAACTGCTGCATTATGAACAGAGAAAGTAAGTGTTGTATTGTATGTACATCTTCAAGTGATGTACTTTGTACATGCTTGGGACTGCTATAATAGTAGTACTATAAATTAGAAAGTACATGTCTTTAGTGTCTGTAGTATTCGAATCATCACTCTCATACTTGAAAGTAGCTTGGATGTTCAGAAAATTTGTCAAGAAGTTAAACAGCAGATAAATCATCATGTGGTGATCAATAGAGTAATTATCAAGCTACACTACTGCCGTGTAACATGAAGTGGTTCTTGCATGTATGGCGGGTGTAGAATTTTGAAAAGAAATGAGATCCCCAAGTTGCAAGTAGCAAAGACTTTGTGTTTGATGACTGTTATTTCTCTATTTTTTGTCTATTTGTGTGGACCTTTATACATGTAATTATTGGTATCCTTCGTACAGCAGTTCATTTTTCTTTTATTGTACATTTACAAGTTCCGTATTCTTCTCATTTGCACCTATTATATCAAAATTGAAGTTGTGGTCGGCAGATCATGTTCATACATGCATTCATGCATATGCACGCCTACAACTTTTTGCTGCCTTTGGCAAGGTTGGAAATAATAACAAAAGAGCAACTTAACTTTTGGAATAAGTCAACGAAATTCATTCTAGTTAATTGTAGCATGTTCCTTTTTTATTTCGTTACATAGGGAACAACTGGCACTGTGTGATGATGACACCAGGGCTGGAATGCTTGCTGGCCAATGTCAAGAGTAGGTCTTAGTGTTCATTGCTTAATTTAGTTGAGAGGGTTTTTCAGTTTATGCTTACTTAGGTTATTGTATTAAAATGTTCATCCAGTATACATCGTTATCATGTCTTAGTATCACACTTGAATGATTCATGGAGGAAGGAACAAAAAAGTCAGAACTCTAGTACTTGAAAGTGTTACCTGATCGTCACCGCCCATCTTGCCTTACAATTGTTTTTCTCAGAGGAGCAGTGACAAACCTTACTTATTATGCAGCATATAGGGAGGTTGATGGTTACCAACTAAAATGGCAGCAGTGATCATCAAGTACAAAAGGTGCTTGCGGTCATGCAATGAATGGTCCCGGCTTGTGGGCACAGTGCTTTAGCCATGGGCATTCCTGAGGGACTGGAATGTTAATAGTCAAATGTTAATAGTGCATGAGTTCTGACTCCTCCATGATTGACTAGACTACAATTTGTATAAATGTACTTGTAGTTTAACCTGCAGTACACAGATGGAGTATTTGCTGTCTGGCAATACATGTTATCAAATCATACAAATTGATTTGAAGTTTGAGGTACCTTTTGGCCCAAGATGTTATTATGATAAATATAGATTTATTGAGAAATACCTGCTGGAATTTAATTCTTTGTTTTTATTTTGTGTGTTGGCATAGTACACAATAAGTGGAGGAAATGCAAACCACCTGTATTGGTGAAAATACATTGGCATGGAAAATCCCTTTAAATGCAGTCACCTTATTTTTTTGTTTGTTCTAGAAATGTTTATTGCACAACTCAGAATGGCATTTATATTACTCACACTTGTGATGGTAAATTACATCCTAATATTTGTCTTTTGGGAAAAGTATAACACTATATAAATTTTGAGAAAACAATTGTCGTTTTCAAACAAGGTTAGATCAGGATCTGAAGACCCTCGAGCAGAGGCATGGCATCCAGCGCTGGTGCAACGACAACCCTGCCTTCATAACCCACCTGGCAGTGATGAAGGGAAAGCAGCAGGTGGCACTCATCCAAAAGCTGTGGTCACATGCTGTTGAGTACACCTTTTTTTGGACATGTCCAAAAAGTATTCAGGTATGGAACTCATAACATTGTTTACATATGAACGCAAAACATATCTAAAATTATAAGCCCTCATTCAAACATTCACAGACAGTTAAGAATTAAAATAATTGATTAGAGCAAGTGCATTAGACACTGTGACTCGTTAGACAGGCATGCACCTTTTCAGCTGATCAGCTGATTTCCTCTTTTTTGACCTCCCATGTGTGCCATTGAAAATACAAAAACACTTTACAAAGTCTGGGAAAAATTTGAATTTCCTCTTTTTTTGTGGTTTCCCAGTTGCATGCCTTGGTAGATAAACTCCAATTCTGCTTCATATTGTTACCCGATAATACCATACTAAATCATGTTGAGTCAAAGCATGACTGTAATCATATCCCTTTAAAGATCAATGTTGTTATTGATTTCGACCATACAGCTTATTTGATCGATCGCTTGACACAAACAGGGACCCAAGCTTAATTCTTTGATTGGAAAGGCTTTCATGAATTACTTTTCCAAATGTCATTGATTGCTGTACAGAGGGACAGTCTGTGGCCACCAGACTAAGTAAGCAGATACGGAAGTCTTCCAAAGCTTTGAGGAAACTGGTATCTGCTTACAACAGCTGTGACTTCACTACACCACCGTCGTCAACATCCCACAAAGATGTGATTGACTTGACTTCACAGCTGTACACAAACTTGACGGTGACAAAACAGGTAGAATGAGGTTTTAGTACTTTGTTTAGTTTGATTGTTTGCTGTTTGATTTACCTCGGTTTTGAATTTGTTAAGTGTTGTTTTGTGTTATTTTGATTCTTTCATTTTTATCCCCTGGCTTTTTAAACCAAAAGGGTGATATTGTGATCGTTTCTTCCTTCTGTGCGTTTGTATGCCTAGTGCGTGAGTATGTAAACACAGGCAATCACGGACTAGGGACAAAAGAGTAGGGACACAAATAAAGGGTCCACGATTGACCGTTAGTGCAAGATTGAAATTCGTGTACAAAACCAATGAGAGCTGTTGCTAAAAGTTACAGGACAGACAAAGGAATGAGGATAAGGGACAATGGGGGTCCGCGATTGCTGGTGTTTACAAATATGGGTGTGTCTGTATGTGTTATATTTTGGTTTTGTTTACTGTTTAGTGCTGTCATAAAATAAGTCTGTCTTCAAGCTCAACCAAACTTGGTGACAATAATAGTTGGGTGAAGGAGGGCTTCAGATGACCTGAGACATTTGAGTTCAGATTTCATCTAGGAGTTATACATGTGTATGAGGTCATTGGTTATGACGTTTTGGTTAGGTCAACTGAAAAGTGCTGTCATGTGAACTGTTGGACTTAAGTCTCAACCAACTGAAAAGTTAACTGAAAAGTGTGCATACTAACCAACTCTATAAATACTGCCTGTGCCAGTGTGCCTTGGTGATGAGCAAATTTCAGTTACAGTATTTCTGTCATTTTGAATAAACTTGGAAACTATGCAAGTATAATGATTGAGTTTTTGGGAGGTATTCTTGTCTCCTGCTACTAACAAAATTTTAATCTGCAGAAACCACTTTGTCCAGTACTTTCCTCTGGCCCTACTCTTTACACTTCAATGTGTTCTTTCAGATGGAAATTGGTCATGCATATTCTGCATATTACCAAGTTCAGAGAGCTGACACATGTGTCATGTTAGTCGCTCTCAAACATGCACAGAGCCATGCATAATATATGGACATGTGTCCCAAAAATATTCATATCAATGCATCACTGATTCCCCTCTTCCATTTCTTTTTCCTTGGATTGAAAGGGTAGCACACCCATTCCCTCCTCAACACGGCGAAGAGCTGTCGATCTCATCAATTTGAGTGACCGGGCCAAGGAGGAGACTGCACTGGTTGAGAAGGAAATGGCTCGAGTTCTCCAATCAGTGTCAGACCGACACAACCAGTTGGTGGCACTCGTGAAAGATCTGCGCTCGGCTGAGGCTGATAGGGCTGAGGGCCTGCTGTTTTTAGTTGGGAATGCCATCCAAGAGCAAGAACAGCTGCACCTCAATCTGGAAAAGTGTTTTTCAAATTATATTCCCATATCATCTTGCACCCCATTTTTCAGGTCTACCATACTTTCAGCAATTTCTCCAGAACTTTCACCATCAGATGAGACTCCACTGTCTTCAGATTCTTCATCTGACGAAAGTGAGGATGAAGCTGTTAGTGATTGATTTCTAAACTGAGCTGATATACTGACAACTCATCCATTTGGTTGATTTTGTGATTTTGTTATGTTTGTGTTTTTTGGTTTTAAAGGTCACTTTTGGAAGTCTTTACGCCAACATTCCAAATTCTTGTCAAAATCAGTCATATTAACTAATACAGAATTTGACCTAGCTACGTTATGTTATTTACGTTGAAACTGCTTGATATAATATTCTCATTTTAATCTACTTATGCATCAAAATGATCAAACATTGATAGCAGACTGTGTCGCCAAGAAATATGTTTAATGCAAGCCCGCATTACAGAAAACAGAGCATTTTCTTATTGGTCAGTATGTCAGGGCCAAAGTATGTCTTCAACGATGCTTGCTTTCTTTGAAAACACAATTACCTTCTATGCTGCAAGATATATATATGTATATATATAATGATGCCCCCTATTTTTGTACCTGTCCAGTATGACCTTTTTGTAAATAAGAACAGGTTTAATTCGCTGTCCATTGATCACAGTAATGGTATGTTTTGCTGAACATCAACATTAATCTTTATTGTGATACGTGGAATTTTGGGGTTTTTTTACCGTGTATATGTCTAAAAGTATAATGGGAATAGGCCTAGTACATGAATGATTTGGATGAATATTTTGTTAACAGGTAGCGTATACACGTACAATGTCCTTACAAGTGCGACATGCAGAGCTTTGTTGAAAATATGGGGCTCCCTTTGGGTTTGATGATTTTTTGTCTCGTCCTCGATTTGTATTTTGAAGTACATGTATATACATGTATAAGTTAACCTTCCCTTTACTATGATTGTCTATTTTTTACGAAGAAATTAGATGTTAGCAAAGCTTGATCCAATCCTTCCAAAATCTGTGGCCGCATTGTGCTAGGATTTATGTTTTCATGAAAAGAAATTTCACACAGAATATTCTCATATCAAATATGCAATGTTCTTATATCAAATATTCATTGAAAAAAATGAATAGGCCTTTTACATGAAACCATAAATACTAGCGCAATGCAGCCATACATTGTGGACGTTTTGGAAACACGGGTTATTTTGATTGAAATCATCAGTTGAACATTGTCTTTCCTATAAAGTAGACCTACAAGTACTTTCAGAAAGACTGCAAATGTGCAGTCTATTTTAATATTATTAAGTTCATTTTTATATAGACCAAGTATGTTTTGTTTCAATTGAATTAGGTGTATTCGTGCTGAACAGGAATCCTTCAATAAGCCAAGTCAACATTTCACTCATGCATGTGCAAACTCTCACAAACAATGCATTTTTGTTTGATAAATAAAGCATGTCCAAATGTTCCGTTGTTTAAGTTAATTCACTATAACAATTAAAACTATTTATTCTCAGATGTCAAATTCATCCCTCTGCTTATCTATATGTGATTCATTATATCCTGACTAGGTGTTACAATTAAATTTAATAATGAAACAGAAACAATTGTTCTTGAGAAATCTGTTCATGAACACGTGTGTTGCTGATGTATTGGGTACATGTACATTTTCACCTTGTATGTACAACATTTTAACAGACATTTGGGTCAATGTTCACATATTCATTTACTCAACGTGAATATGATAATGTTAAACGTTTACGGAGTATTTCTTTAGCAAGTTAGGCATATACCCGTGCGGCTATTTTATATACGAAATGTAAATAATAATTGACTTAAAATTCTTAAAGTGTCTTAACCTCTTATTTATGTCATAATTCAAGTGAACAATGCCTGGCCTTCATTTCTTATAATTGTACTGCCTTTAATGTTAACAGCTTACAAGTATCAAACAATAAGGAATTTGGATTGATAAGTTGTCATTGCTTCGGTATCAAGCTTGGTCTTCATATGAAAACAAATGTCGGAATTTCTGAGATAGTTCTGTGAATGTGAATCTCGTAATCAGGTGGTTAGTGATGTAAAGATTTAAGGACAAATACTTAATATTACGTAGAAGTTGTTATCATTTTTTTTATTTGTGAAATCAAATGAAAAAGTGCATATTAAATAGACAAATAAGGTCATCCTTTTATAGAATTATAACAAAAACCTGGGACACTCTGAGCAAACGCAGGGTTTGGCCAACTTGGCCAGCATTAATGTCCGTATATTGGTTACTTGTAGTTACTTCTTGTGCGTGCATAGTGGAAGATAACATGGAATAAAACTACTCTGCATGAAGTGATACTGGTGAACATGGCCTTAGTTTTTTAAAGTTCATTAGGTCATCGCGTCCGTAACAGTAACTATAGGATTCCCCGTAAATCAGTGTATCTACTCGTGCAAAACTGTTATTGTCTGCAAACAAACTGACAAAACGAGGGGACGGAAAATGTTGCGAACAAAACCAACCGAACATCAACAAATTTGGATTTGAGATATTCAACTGGGCATTTATTTTGCCTAGCTTGATCATGTGGTCCGTTAACTCATTTATTAATTGAAGTATATCTTGCGCACGAACAGGTACCCGTCCCTGATAATCGATGGTGCCCCAGTCGACTCTGTCAACAAAGACGATACAATTATTGACTTAATTACAGTTGAAAATTTAGAATTGAAGCTCGATCGACTACATAAATTAATTATGATTTGAACATTCCCCGCTTTCAGGCTGAGCCTTGGTTCGTTCATGGTTCGTTATTTGCCAAAGTATAGAAAGTTTGGCCATTAGGCCCTATGATAAGCGCTTAGCAGGGGCGGATCTGGGGCGTGGGGGTCAACCCCCCCCCCCCCTTCCATACAAAAAAAATGCAACTAAGGCCAAAAAAAATATTCGGTCTCTGGTCAGACCAAAGTTCCGGAATTGACGCGGCCACGCGGCTTTTTTTTTTTATTTTGCTTTTTTTTTCTTTCTTCAAGCTTCGATTGTACAGACAAGGTGGGTACTATTTTGCTTTTTTGGTGTCCTCATGTACATTGGTGTCCTCCATAATTTGCCTTGGTGCTTTCGATCATTTGCCTTGGTGCAATTTCCCATTCCTTGGTGCTCTTTGGTAAAAATAATTGAGGAGGTGCGGAAATAGAGGGCGCTGTTGGAGCTACCGCGGAACATTTTGGGAAAAAAAGATCGACGCGCATGCTTAAAATCGACGCGCGCGCTGACCAGAGACCGACTTATTTTTTTTTTGGCCTAATAGAGAGAAAGAGAGACTTCAACTAGAGAGGAAAGGGAGGGATGGACAAAATTAATAGGGAAGTTCACGTTAGACCGTAGCCTGCTATGATTAGTTGCACATAAGACTAAAAATTAAAAAGCGCCAGGACAGAAGAAAATGAGAGACAACCCTCGCGCGACCGGGAGGGGGATCGACGAGCGAGACGGGGTGGGCACGCGCGACGAGAAGAAAATGCACCCAAACCTATCGACCAGGGCGACACCCCCCCCCCCCCTCCTTCAGCCCTCACGTGTTTCGTCCCAAACATATAACAGTTTGATGTTATTGCTCAGGATAGCCGATTCAATGACTCCAAACTCCGAGTCGATGATATTTTGTTTAGGATAATCTTTGCCCCCCCCCCCCAAAAAAAGAAAATGGTTAGATGGATACTCGACTGAGAGTGCACCACAGAGCATGTAAAATCTAAAATTGTCACGAACTTGTCACAACTATAAAAATCAATATACATGTTACCAAATATTAATTTTAATATCCTCCTGTTTCCGTTCAAGAATCACTTTACGAAAGGACTGTTTACTGCCGAAGGCTTCTGTTCTGTTATTTCGTCGCGCGCCGGGGTTTGACAGAGCACTCACGCCTGTATGGCCGGCTGTATGCATAGTAATGACTGCCATACATTTACTATGTAAGAAAATAATGAATAAACAAATTAATAAATATATGAATAAATAAATAAATAGAATAAACACCGACTAAAAGGATGCCTGGTGACTTATAGGCCTAAGCATCAGTAACGAGAAACGCACAGACACTACGATAAACTCGCAACAGTCTAGTCTGATTCGTTATCGACAGTGAAAGCTTTTATCCTGACACCTGGAGAACTGATACGGGAAACATTAATCTCTTCGATGTAGCATGCCTTTCAAACCGTTTAGATAACAGAATTAAGGCTAGTTAGTTCATTAAGTAATGATTTTGGATGACAACGAAGTGTAAATTTGACAGAAACAGTAAAAAGACTTGCACAAGTTTGCTGTTACAGGGCGCCCTCTCGCACTGTGTTGTTAGAAAATAATTCACGCACAATTATTTTAATGCGATAAAAATATCAATTAAATATATCCTCTACTTTTTTTTCAGTATAATTGAGTTTATTTAACGGAGAAAATACCAGAGAAAACATAAGCGTTACAAACAAGTTTGATTTAATTACTTCATTTTTGGAAGAAAATTCCCCTCTGACGGAAACGAATCATGTTCCTATTGTGTCTTCCGAGTCTAGTTTCTCTTATCTGTGGCCTCAGTTCCAAATTATAGGTAAGGTGGATCGGAGATGTTTGCCAAGGATAAAAAGATGAATCGCCATGTCAAACGTTGATATTGAGTTGTTGTAATATTGGTACTTAGCTCGCAATAATTAACTAATGACTTATAAACAAATGTTTTTCGAATACGATGCCAAATTCATAATTTGCACCGCGCCGGGGACGCGTACGTCCGTCTTTATTATCTTATCTATACTTCATTTTCTTACTCGTAAACCGTGTAAAATCACGTCACGGGGTAATGTCTATTGTTAATGCTTAAGTTTTAGCCAAAAATGGCACTTTATGCAAAACAGGCATTGTGTTCAATTGGATAGGAAACTGTAATCGCACGCCGCCCCTAAAGCTTTCATAAACATTTACCGCCCACAGTATGTAAACTATAATATGTAAATTTTGCAGTCGGATAAAATCATGATCTCATTGTAAGCGAGTTTAACTTTTAAAGTGCCTTTTCTCACATGTTAAATGTGTTATTGGTGAAACCCTTTCTTATAACTTATTGGCTGTTCATTTTCACGTCCAATACGCGTAGGCCCCATATACTATTGTCTGACAATGACCAGCAGGAATTGCGACGGTGAACAGTGTCAATGGAAAATTGTTGTATAGCACACACTCCCCCCCCCCCCCCCCCACACCTCTACATCCCGGATGTGTCTACGTTGGAAAAAAAACATGTCCACCTCTCAGAACAGATGAAACTTGGGCACCCCGCCCTCATGACCCTACTCGCCCCCCCCCCCCCTTCCTGGTATGAGAATCACGACTGCGTCACTGGTCACTTTGTGTCTTTTTGTTCGACTTCATATAAGCAAAAATACAGACTACAGGAACTTAACAACTGAAATTTGTATTAGGTATAAATGTTGTTTAAATTTTGTATATTCAGAGAAAGCTGTATTGAATTACTATTTCATGTTAATCAGCATCCAGGACACGTTTCATTCAGCCATTGAAACTACTTGATGTCACAAACCGTACCAACGGTACCCATTCTCGGATTTGCCGAATTACTTCACTTAAAGAAAAAAACCCGGCATTTTTGGAAACAATGTTTTATTGTTTTCTTCGAAATGACACAGCATACCTGAAAGAAGCATGAATAGCCTGTGGCGACCGATTCAGTTGGATAGAATTATTGGAAATTGGCATTTAATGTATTAAGCTGGATCCGTACTCATTTTAAGCCGGAGTACCAGTGAGAGTACCACCATGCAGTATGAAATTGTTATTGTTTAAAACCGGCAAATTTAGTGCCCTCATACCGTGCTGTCAATCAGTGTGACCGCTTTAAGTAGATTTTGTTTTTTATCAGTCACACCTCTGGCGAGTGGGCTCAAATTTTGAGTTAAGCAGAGTTTGAGTTAGAAAATGCATTTTCTTTGCATTAAATTTCCCTGTAGTAAATTCAAGTGCGGTTCTACGAGGGGGGGGGGGGGCAAAAACAGAAGCATCTTTTGTCTCCCCCCCCCCAAAAAAAAATCCATAAAAAATGGCAGTAGAAAATGTTAAAAGGTGATGTCACAAGCGAACGGCCTGCCTCCTAAAAAAATAGTCGGGAGAAGGATTGTCCGCTCCCCATCGAAAATATGAAACGAGCCACACCCACTCCCCTGCCCACCGAGTGATTTTCTGAGTGTCCGGAGAAAAAAAAAAAGTTCTACATTTCGGCATGCCTACCTGCAAAATTTCTGGATCCACGAACGAACAGCAGGTATAGTGTAATGTACTCTAATGACGTGCACAATCACATATGTGTCAATTTAACACACCCCCCCCCCCCCCGAAAAAAAAATAAGGAAAACAAAATATTTTTTAAGAAACGTATGATCAAACAGAATCGTGGTAGCAGGTTTTTGCTAAAGTTAGCATAATTTTGAAATGCAAATCTGGCCACCTTGGTCACGTGACAGGAAACTTTTTTTTCATCACCAGAACCATGCTGCGCAGCGCCGCGCCGCAGCCGGGCCACGGGCAACGGCCACCTGGCCGGCGGCGCGGTACCAACATACAGTACAGCTCAGCTCATCACGCGCGGCCGGTGCTGGCATATCGTATTCTGAACATCGAAGTACACCTCTAATCAAGACCGTGTACTTGACTTGTTGCAGTCTTGGCGAAGCAATTCGCATAAAGTTTTACGAGAAAAAAAAGGAGCAGCCTTCAAGACGACACGGAGGTATGTATCCAGCCATGGTGACATTTAAGGGAACTTTAATTCAAGAACACTCTGTATACTAAGCAAATCGGCAAACGTCGAACATGTATTTATGCCGATCTCAGCTGTTCAAGGTGACGGAGAGGTGTGGAGGTGCACCAGTTGTGAAGCTTAGACATTGGAGCTACTGCTTGATGTATATTCCTTGCTCTATGGACTGTGTAGTTATGAACGGATTTTTGTTTTAATGCCCTCTATTTTGTGATTGAACAACATATAAGGAAGTTAGAAAAAAAAATGCAATTTTAATATTAATATATATGCTAACAAACTTATCAATGTTTTTTTCTGTGTTTTTCAGAAGTTTAAAAGTAGGCCCATGGAGCATCAGGAAAAACTTGACAGGCTCTGGGATGAGGGCATGACAAACTATGGGACAGCCGAGGCTAAAAGAAAGGTTGCATTGGCCATCGAAAGAACTGGTTTGACTGCGAAGCAAGTGAAGGTATCAATATTTTCATCCTTCTCAACCAATTGCGGTGTAGATTAATTTATGCCAGTGTTTCATTTATTAAG